CAGGTTATCTGGATAATTTATTTCTGTTTTCTCCTCACCAATTTGGGTTGTTCTGATTAATTTACTGCTTAATGACCTGACTACAAGAAGGTGAACAGGGAAAGGAAGATTTGATCCAATTCAACACATTTTTAATGAATGCATATTTAGACCAACTACAGAACAAAGCACTGGACACTTTCTAAGACAGACACTTTCTGAGAGCCCAGAATGTACGATTGAGCTATAAACTTGCTCAGACCCTCAATGCCATTCTCAAGGACTCACACAGGCATATCAGGCATCCCTTGGGAGCAAATATGATGGATTCCCAACGCAGTTTCAATTGCTAAGTATTTTGTGCTGTCATCTAGGGACCATTAACATAATTCCAAAATTTCAACACTTGAAAATACAATCTAGGTTCTTATTGATCTGGAAGCTCAGTAAAATCACAGTCCTTTGTGTCTAGGTTTTGAAACTATTTTCTACATTTTGTGTATATTTTACAAACTATTTTCTTAAACTACTTGTAAGCCATTGTTTGTATGAGTCTTGTCTCTGAGGATTCCTCTGCATTGTCAGCAATGATGTTTTTTCAGAATTTGGTACCAGGACCTCCTACATCACAGCCATTTGGCAAGCTTGTTAGAATGTATATTCTAAGACTTCCCCAAAACCCACTGAATCACAGTAGTTGAGGAAGAGACCTAGGCACCTGCATTTTACTCATCTGAACATGCTGATGTGCCTACAAGTTTGAGGACAACTTGTCTAGAGTTAAAACATTACACAAATGCTGAACTTGAGTAATATTGCTTATTATCTTCATGAAACTTTAAAAAAAGACTTTAAGCAAAGTTTCTTAGGAAATTACAATGCAATTATGAAAGGTGTGTAAAAAGCTAATGCTAAATACATCAGGGAGGAAAGAATTATCTTGCCAAAACTCCTGGCAAAACCCAATAGTTCTCTAAGGTCTTAGAAATAATATTGGTTTCTGAAGACAAATGAGTTTATGAAATAAGAAATGTTGTCATTCCATTATGATGTGCAAGTAGGTCGGGTTTGGGTTGAGGAGCAGCTCCTTTCCCTATGCATGTCATTTTTACTCTATTTATTCCCAAGGCCTTTGGATTGGATGGCTGTCTTTATAAGGTGAGAGAGTAAAAGTAAGAAAAAAATCTACTGGATTCCCTAGAGCAATATATCCAATAGAAATTTGTGCAAAGATGGAAATACCATCCATCCTCATTATTTATGGATTAAAAATTTGCAAATTTGCCCAGTTGCTAAAATTTATTTGTCAAATTTATTTCTCCAAAGTCAGTACTCACGGGGGTTTTGTGATCATTCATGGATGAATTTGAGTGAAAAATGTGAGTTACCAGACATATACATTCCCAGCTGAGATTGAACAAGGCCTCATTCTCTCTTCTTGTTTTCAGCTCTTATACTCTATCTGTTTTTAGGTCTCTTTAGTGCCATGTTGTTCATATTTTTGCACTTGTTTTTGGTGATTCCACTGTTTAAGTAGTGCCCAAGTGTAGTGCTGAAGTGCTGTCTAATGTTCCTAAGCACAAGAAAGCTGTGTTGATCCTTATGGAGAAAATAAGTGGATTAAATCAGATTCATCCAGGCATGAGTTATAGGGCTGTTGGCCATGAGTTCAATGTCAATGAATCAACAACATAAATATCAAATAAGGTGTTTTAAACAGAAAGACATAACACAAGGTTATATAATGAATGCTTGATGAAAATGTTATGACCATAGGCTCACAGGAACCTAACTCAGTAATTCTGCTAGGAGGGAATGTTCAGTATTCACTAATGCAGTTCTCATGGTGACTTTATAGAATATAACTATCATGAATAATGAGAATTGACTGTATTCCATTCTGAGGAAGCTAACCACTCATGACTATTGAGCACTTAAAATGTAGCTAGCACAAGGTAAATTTTTCATTTACATTTTAGTAAAATTTAAGCAAATTGAAATAAAATACAATTGTGCGATTACAGTAGCCACATGTGGCTAGTGGTTATTTTATTGTGCAATGCAGCTGTAGACTCTGAAAGCCCTGGTTCTCATGAGGTGGATATATTAGTTTAGTGTTGTTGAATAACTAACTACCATGTGTTGATGAAGAGTGAAACTCTAAAATATTTGAAAAGATTTATTCTGAGCCAAATATCAGTGACCGTGGTCCATGACTCAGCCCTCGGGAGGTCCTGAGAACATGTGACCAAGGTGTTGGTGTGTAACTTGGTTTTATATATCTTAGGGAGACATGAAACATCGATCAATCAAATACATTTGAGATATACATTGGTTTGGTCCAGAAAGGCAGGACAACTCAAAGTGGGGTGGTGGGCGGGGTGAGGGCTTCCAGGTTAAAAGTAAATTTAAGCTTTTTCTGGTTGACAATTGGTCGAATTTCTCTAAAGAGTTTCTTTCAAACAGAAAGGAATGTCTAGGTTAAGATAAGAGGCTGTGGAGACCAAAGTTTAATCATGTAGGCAAAGTTTTTAGCTAGCAGGCTTCAGGGAGAATAGGTTGCAAAATGTTTCTTATCAGACTTAAAGTCTATGTTGATGTTAATGCTGAAGAGGTATAACGAGGCACATTCAACCCCCACTTTCCATCATGGCCTGAAACAGACTCTCAGGTTAAGTTTTAAGAGGCCTGGCTGAGGAAGAAGTCCATTCAGATGGCTGGGGGGCCTTAGAATTTTATTTTTGGTTTACCCATGTGCTTAGTGGCTTAAAATAACACAGATTTATTTTTTCAGTCTCTGGGCCTGGATTAACTGAGTCCTCTACTTTAGGGTCTCAGACTGCAAGCCAGGTATTAGCCAGGGCTGTAGCCTTATCTCAAGACTCAACCGGGAAAGGATCCACTTCCAGCCTCATGTGGAGGTTTGCTGAATTCAGTTCCTTGTGGTTATAGTGAAACCGCCTTTGCAAACACGATAACTAAGAAATTATGACAGTAAAAGATACCAGACCTAACCAACTTCATCTTGCTTCTAACCTCTAAACTGTCCTTGTCCATTCCTCGATATAAGCCGAACTAGGCTTGGGAAGGAATTTAGTTTATAGTTTAAACAATAGCCCTTCCCAAAAGCTAAACTGTTAATTGTAAAATTAATGAAAGGCCACCAGCCACCAAGTTAGAATGAGAGGAAATGGAATTCTAAATATTACCAGCCATTATTCCGGAGGTCATAAAATACGAAACTTTGCCAATTATTCTTAAAGGTAACATCACTGTTGTAAGCCTAAAGTGGGCCTTTTGAGATGCCTTTTCAAATTTTTGCACTTCTAACAACTGGATGGCCTTACCTGGACCTGCCAACCAGTTCTGTGGCCCCCACTCAGGAACTGACTCGGCATAAAAGAACAGCTTCAATCCCCTATGATTTCATCCCAGAGCCAACCAATCAGCACTCCCAATTCACTGGCCGCCTACCCACCAGATTATCCTTGAAAACTCTGATCCCTGAATTTTCTGATTTGTCTCCTGCACAGCCAGCTCTGCATAAATTATTCTTTCTCTATTGCAATTTCCTTCTCTTGATAAATCAGCTCTGTCTAGGCAGTGGGCAAGGTAAACCCATTGGGCATTTACAGTAGGACTGAGGGGCCTTTATTTTATTTTATTTTATTTTATTTTTATTTTTATTTTTTGGCTGTTGGTGGAAACTGCCTTCCTAAGTTCCTTTCCTAAGTTTTTTGCCATGTGAACCTACCCAACATTGCCACTTGCTACATCATAGCCATCAAGGAAAAAAATCAGCTCCCCTGGGCGACAAAGCGAGACTCCGTCTCAAAAAAAAAAAAAAAAATCAGCTCCCAAGAAGGGTATGTTATCCAAAAGATCACCAGGATGGCTGAATAGTAGAAGTGTTACTGGGGGCGAGTGCCACCATGGGTGTTAAAATGGCTTTCACCCATGTTAACAGGGCAGATAGGGAGGTGGGAATTATTTACTCTTACCCACATACACCCTGTCTACTCTGCTGTCAGTAGCCTTGAATTACCTAGACCTCATTTATGCCCATGGATACTAGCATGGCCTTTATCCATGAAATGGGAAGCTTGGCTTAATTGGCAGGAATCAGCCATATTCACCTGTGCTGTGCCTTTTAACGTTCATCATCATCTGCCACTGGATCCTTCAGATCCAGTTTTCTTTCCTAGGGCTTTGACTGGAAGCTTGGAATTGAGTTTGGTACAAAAATATATCTCAGGGAGTGGGGTTGCATGGACTCCTTATCATAGCCAAATGCTAAGGCAAAACTGTGGAACTGAGTCCTCCTCCAACAAGGGAGAGAAAAGGATGTCTTGTGACACATTAAGATAACTGGAAGCTATAGTTATGCTTGCTAGGATTTAGGTCATGGTACTTGGCTTTTGTTAGCTCCGTTGGTCTTACTTTTCCAAAAGGAATCCTCCAAGTGATGGACATCCTATGTATTCCCATCACCTGGCAGGATTTGCAGGATAATTACTCAGAACTGGAATATTGGTCCAGATTTTCACATTACCCATTCCTCCTTTTCTTTCTGAGCTGTAGTGAGAGATTGCTCATTGATTCACAGGAACAAACAGGGTTAGTATAAAAATGTAGACAAAAACTTAAAAACAACTATTGAGTTTAGAAGTTAATGAAAAAGTTATGGTAAGTTTTGAAACATAATTTCAATCTCTCCAGTCCTCATTTTTATTAAAAAAATCATGATAAGCCTGAATTATTTGCAAAATAGACTTTATTCTTATACTTGGCCTGATTATTTGCAGAAAATGCAGCCAGAATAACTATTTCTACATAGGCCTTTTGGATTGCCTTTGATGGAACTTTGTTTCATAAGGAATCACAGATAACATCTTTTAAAACTGAGCCAGCCATGGGTTTTTATCCTCAAATACCTGTGAGTTGGGTGATCCTCTCCTCTTAACATCCCAAGATGAACTTGGAGCTCCTAGGTCTGTTAGAAAGTGCCATTCTGTACTTACCACAGGTCAGGAACCCTATACAAGGACTGCATAGGCAAGGGTATGAGGCCAATCTGTTTTTCCCCAAGGGCCTTTTATTGGCTCTGTAATTTGAGCTTGACTCCTTAAAGGTAAGCATATCCTTCCAGTCAAGGCCTTGGTGAAATAACCAGTTTCTCCAATTGTGTCCTGTTGCAAAAGAAAAATGGATTCTTACTGTGCTGATGCAAAGAACTATATTGTCATAGGTTAAGAATACTCACAGATAGTTTCCAAATTCTAGAGGAAACAGGCAGAGAGAAATAAACATGCTCCAAATTTGGTTCATAGGAGTATACCTTACTCAGTTATTAAAGGCTGTAAATAGTTCGAAATATGTTTCCATGACTCTGAAAACAAAACAAGGACCAGCAATATTCCAAGCAAAAGTTAAAAAGATTATTTCGATTTTCTGAGTTCAATACATTGAGTTCTTATTTTGCTCAATATTCATGAACATATCAGCTCTTCTTGAGTCCTATACATTTTTCCTTTATTTTAATGTTACAATCTCCAAAGTTATCAGAAACCTGTATTTGAGAACACCCGTCAAAGTTCTGTAGTTTATTATAAACTGTCCTTTAAAAAGGATTAAAACAAGGAAAAAAATGTCAGTGAATAGCAAAATGTCCAGGGCAGTTACAGTTAGAAAGTGTTTGGTTTGGTTATCTCCGTGGTTTTCAATAACTTAACATAACAACCTAAACTATGATTGATAGCATATTCTTAGACATTAGAATTTTTTAAATGCTATACAATTTTGGAACACATATTTGTATTATTCACCAAAATATAACCTAAAGAGGATTGAACACCATTTTGGCAATCCCATGTACCTAAACATGTCAACTAATCCTGTTTACCTCTCTTTTCTAGACACTCCAGGGGTTCTTCTGGAGCCTCTGAAAATCCAGGTGTCAAGAAAGACAATTTTGAAACTGAAGTTTGATTTGGGGAAGCCTGTTACATATGTTAGAGGATTAAAACACTTGATGTTATGAAATAGAATTCCACAGTGCCATAAATTATTTATTTTGCCAAATGATGACTCAGAATTTTAAAGAAGCAAAAATATTTACTCATTAGGAGAGAAGACAGCTTTTCAAACAATTTGTCTCCTGTCTTCTCTTCCTTTGACTTGGCAGTCTATTCTTAAGGCAAATGAAAATCTTTCACTATCCTTTACTATTACATAAAAATCTTGTATAAAGGAGAGAAATCCAAAATTTCACCCTTAACATTAGTCTACTATTGTCAAACCCAATTGTTAAATGAAACCTTATAGACAATTCTACCTAATCTTAACCAATTTGACCATGAGGTAAGATTCTTATAAACCTTTTATAACCCTTTACAAATTTTGCTAAAGAGCAGATTAGTGCCTTAAGAAAACCTTGTTGTGCTTTTATTTCAATGCTCAATTTACAAAAAACTATGTAATAACCTTTTGAATTCCACTCAGTGTTCACACACAGAATTTCTTTCTTGAAGATTAATTTTTAGAAACCTTTCACCACTTGTTTGAACCTTCAGCTTTATCTTATCTAATTTAAAACAATCATTTAACCCTAGGCAAATATTTATATTTCCATGCCTTCTTATAACCTTTACTAAAAAACACATTTTACTGTTCTCACAGACCTCGCATGTAAATCTATTTCCAGTAGTTTCAATTACATGTTATAATAGTAACTTTTAGCAATTTTTAACTTTAATGTAAAACCTGGTAAGTTGTTTTAACTGAGTGCTAAATGCAACCAAGGTTTGACTCCTTCCAGCATAATTAAGAGCATAATTAGTTCCATGTGGTCCCCAGGCCTTATCGACTGTGGAACAGGCAAGTTAAATAGTTCTCAAAAATTAAAAGGCAGAATACAACCTTAAAACACTTGCCAAACCTTGCATCTGATCTGCATAATTTAGTCCACCTATTTACATTTCGATGGTATCTGCATTTCACCAATAATTTTTAAGGCTGTTTTTGTATCTCAAAGATTAAAGTCAGGTGAACTGAAAGGTACCACAATTTTTATCTTCCTTTTAAAATATATTTGATCCAAGTGCTTGTCTTCCTTTAGGCCAAATTAATTAGAGTTCTTTTTACAAACGTCATACACACAACACATATATAACTACACAGACGGGTAAACCCAGTCCCTAGGTGGAGGCCTTTAAGAGACAGGGCTAGGAAAACATGCAGATATTAAATGAGAAAGGACTCATTCCCTAAGGCAAAATTGCTAAACGAAGCCTTCCCACAGGGTCACAGGCCACATCACCAGGAGGTAAAATAAGACAGAGGCCTTCAGTGAAGTCTGCTACAAACCATACACATATGCAAAGCACATAAGATTGGCTACAGCTTAAGACCAGTCTCATAAATCCTTTTTCACAACTAAAATTAAAGCCATTCCCTAATCCAGCTTTATACAGATTCACATCTAGCTTTTCTTATAGAAGATAATTTTAGCTTTTGCATTTAGTTCTTTATTTTCAGTTAATACATGTGAATGGTATGAGGCAGAACATCCAACTTCATTATTTTTCATGTGGATATTCAGTTGTTTTAGCACTATTTTTCAAAAGACTATTCTTTCTTCTATTGAATTATCTTTCTACTCTTGTAAAAAAAGTAATTGAACAAAAAATTATGAATTGATTTCTGGACTCTCAATTTTATCCCATTGATATCTCAATTTTATCATAAGGATATGTCTATCCTTATGTCAATGCCTCACAGTCTTGGTTATTTAATTTTATACTAAGTTTTAAAATTGCAAGGTGTGAACCATTCAACTTGGTTTGTCTTTTTAAAGATTATGCTGGCTATTCTGGATCCCTTGCATTTCCATGTGAATTTTAGAACAGTTTGTTGATATTAGCAAAAAAACAGATGTGATTTTCATAGGAATATTTATTTTTTATAAGGGATTTTAATTATATATTTCTTCTTTTATTCCTGGTTTTTGTGACTTCACTCTCCTCCCTCTTTTACTTGTTCAGTCTCAGTGGGTCCAATCTTTTGGTTTCTCTGGACCACATTGGAAGAAGAATTGTCTTGGGCCACACATAAAATACATTAACACTAACAAGAGCTGATGAGCTTCAAAAAAAATGACACACACAAAAAAATCTCATAGTGTTTTAAGAAAGTTTACCAATTTGTGTTGGGTCACATCAAAGCCATCCTAGGCCACATGTGGCCTGTGGGCCACGGGTTGGACAAGCTTGGTCTAAATAAATGTTTATCAAATCTGTTGATTTACAAAAAAATGTTGATTTACAAAAAAAGTGGGTTTTATTAATTTCCTATTTCTCTCTTCTCTCTTTTTAAAAACTTTCTACTTGTTTTTGGTATAGTTTGTTCTTTTCTAGTCTTTTAATGTGGAAGATCAGGTTACTGATTTGAGATCTCTTTTTCATGAGATAGGCTCATACGCCTCTAAATTTCTTTCTAAGCATTTCTTTTGGCACATTCCATATGCTTGATATGTTTCATTTTCATTTTTATTCAGTTCAAAGTACTTTCTAATTTATCTTATGATTTCACCCATTGGCTACATTGGAAAGTGTTTAATGTCCACACATTTATGAGTTATCAACATTTTTTCCTGTTAGTGATTTCAGATTTTATTTCATTGTCGTCAGCAAACATACTTTGTATGATTACAAAGTATGTTTCGTTGTGTTAAGATTTGTATTATGACCTAATATATACTTTATTCTGAAAATGATTTCATGTGCACTTGAGAAAAATGTGTATTATTCGTTTGTCAGGATGTTTTATATGTATTTGTTAGGTTTCATTGGTCTATAGTGCTGACCAAGTATTCTATTTCCTTGATAATTTTCCTTCTTATTTGTTTTGCCATTATCTAAAGTAAGGTATTGAGTCTTCAACTGTTAATGTTCACTGTCTCTTTTTTCCTTTAATTCTGTCAGCTTTGCTTCCTTTATTTGGGGACTCTAATTTTAAGTGCACACATGTTTATAGTTGTGATGTCTTCATAATGGATTATCCTGTTTATTATTATAAAAAGTCCTTCTTTGTCGCTAAGTTAATTTCAACTTAGATCTATTTGGTTTGATGCTAGTATAGGTGCTCCGTTTCTCTTTTAGTTACCATTTATATGGCACATCTCTTTTCATTCTTGAACTTTTAACTTATATGTGTCTTTGAACCTAAAGTGTGTCTCTTGCAGATAAAATATAGTTGTATTATGTTACTAAAAAATTCATTCTATCAATCTCTGCTTTTTTATTGAAATGCTTAATCAATTCATAGATAATGCAATTACTGATAAGGTCAGATTTACATCTCACATTTTGCTATTTGTTTTCTGTATGCCTTTTGTCTTTTCTTCCCTCTGTTCCTACACTATTGCCTTCTTTTGTGTTAAGTAGATATTTTCTAGCATGCCATTTTAATGCCCTTGTCATTTCTTTTAGATATTTATTTAGTTATTTTTTCTTAGTGATTGCCATGGGTATTATAATTAACATCTCAGCTTATAACAATCCAGTTTGTATTAATAACCAACTTAAATTCAATACTGCAAAAAACTTTGATTCCATATACCTCAGTTCCTTCCTTATTCCCTTATGCTCTTATTCTCATATAAAGTAAATCTTCATACATTGCATAACCATTAATGCAGTTTTATAATCAATGTTTTATGAAATGGCCTTTAAATTAGATAGAAGAGGGAAAATAAGTTACTTGCAAAAATATATTTATACATTTATATTTACCTAAGTGGTTACCTTTACTGGAACTCTTATTTATGTGGATCTGAGCTACTTTCTAGTGTCTTTTCATTTTATCCTGAAGACTTCCTTTAGTATGCTTGTAGAATGAATATGCTAGCAACAAATTTTCTCTTATTTTTCTGAGAATATCTTAATTGCTTCCTTATTTTTGAAGGAATGTTTTGCTAGATATGGAATTATCAGGCCAGGCACAGTGGCTCATGCCTGTAATCCTAGCACTTTGGGTGGCTGAGGCAGGCGGATCACGAGGTCAGGAGAAGATCAAGATCATCCTGGCTAACACGGTGAAGCCCTGTCTCTACTAAAAATACAAAAAAAAAAAAAAAAAAAAA